AAAAAAAGTCTAAATTGTGAGATAAAATTACTGTTCAATTACATTTAAAATTATCTTCACAATTACTTTTTTTTTTTATCCCATGGCAGAAATAGGCTTCTATTTCTATTTTTTATGGCGGAAGCAAGCTACCATATTCTGTTATTTTTTCTGCCATGGGATAAAAAATAAATACTAATTGCAACTTTATATCTTACAATTCTTTTTATTTCTCATAATTCCAGCTTTTCTTCTCAGAATTATGAGTTCATATCTTGTAATTCTGAATTTATATATATATATATATATATGTGTATATAAAGTCTCAATTGTGAGATTAAAAAGTCAAAATTACTTTTTTTTTTATCCTACGGTGGAAGCAAGCTTGCATTGGTTTGCGCGCCTAGTACAGCGTCTAATCGAGCTGAATCTGTCCTCTCATGTCTGTTTTAACAGGTCAGAGGAAAGGCATGGAACAACCCAGATGTTGTGGTGGATGACCTCTTAACGCCCTGCTCTCCAAACGACCCAGGCACAATCCAGATGACCTGGGTGGATGTAGCGAGCGATAAACTCCTGGAGCCGATAGTCAGCTTGGTAAGCTTGGTAAACTAGTGGAGGAAAAAAGCTGAATTCCCAGAGCTTGTTTTGACCTTCTAGTCTGTGTGTCTCAGGAGGACATGTTGAGGTCGCTCGAGAAGACCAAGCCCACTGTGAACGAGGAGGATCTGGAGAAGCTGAAGAAGTTCACTGAGGACTTTGGCCAGGAGGGATGAATTTTTGCAGAATTCACGTGGCATTTATTTATTTTTTTCCATCACGTTTACAAAGCTCCCTCTACATATTTTATTTTTCAAAATCTTTGATAAGTCTTTAACCCTGAGATTTTTTTTGGGGTGTAACAATTTTGTGAGCCTTAATATTATCCTGAACATAACCATTCAGATCAGATATCCATTCATTATTACTAAAAGTCCTCTTAATTTTAAATGGTTTGTTGCAAATGGGTCATGATATTTTTACTTGGACTTTTGAGAGATTAAAAAAAAAAAGATAATTTGTATTTAAGTTGGTCACTTGTGCCTTAATATCTGGTTACTTTTGTACCTTATTGCCAAATAAGACTTAAAAACGACTAGTCTTAAAACCACTAACTGTAAAGTGAATAAATAACATAAGACTAAAATCAAAGACAACCAGTGAGCTGTGAAAAAGTGTTTACAAATATGTGAATACATGTTTTGGGTGTGCAGACCT